TCACAAATACATGTTGTGCAGGGGCTGACCCTATGGAGCAGCATTAGCTTTAGTTGGGCTCTGGCGCCTGCTGAGTCTGCCCTTTGGGTTTGTCATTTGTGGAGGTGCTTGGTTGGTACTCTGATGTAGTCTGAAGCTGGTCAGCGAGTGTGTTGATTTGGGGCCTCTTGGGAGGGGCTTTGGTTAAGGCCAAATTCAGCCACTGCCTGTGACCTTCCCAGTGCCACTTGTTATGTGCTACAAAATGAACTGGTTGAGTTTCACTTGTGCTGGACTTGGAGGTGCTTGGGAGAGTCTAAGCTGAGAACTGAGGCTGGTCTAAGCTGAGAACTGAGGCTGGATGCCATTAATGCCAGGCTTGTGGCTGTTTAGCGAGAGGTACAGGGCACACCAACGCTAGCTACTGCTTGTATGGGTTTTGTGAACTTTGAGAGATTTTAGGAAAGTCTGCAGCATGAGCCAAGACAGGCCATCTGTATGGAAAAGCCACTGGAAGCGGTTTGGGTGGGCCCACTGGTTGGGTGGAGCATAGTTTCAGGGAATCATCTGGGCAGGGCAACCAGTGTTAGCCAGGTTGATGGAGACTCAGATATGGTGCCCACCTGTGCATGCAGGCCAGGTTGGGGGAGAGCTCAACAAAGGAACAATAGCTTCCATCTGAGAGAAAGCTGCCCCTCTAGCCCTTGCTCTGAAGCCAGACAATTCAGTTCCTCCCCATATTTCTATGAGCAGCTGCCGCAGCGCTGGAGCTCATAGTGAGTATCTCAGTAATTCCATGCATCAGCCCTTTTAGAGGAGTGCCTGGTACTCCAGCTGCCCTCTGTCTCACTCAGCCACAGTCTCTGCTGGTTTTCACAGTCAGAAGTTATGGGAACTTCTCTCCTCAGCATTGGAACCCTGGGCTGGGGAGCCTTTTGTGGGACTGGGACCCCTCACTCCTTAGAGGGGACATCCACAGCCAAGATATTCCTCTTGATTTTTAACTGTCACACATGGGTGTTGAACCAACTATTTCTGTGTCTCCGCCCTTCCTACCAGTCTCCAGATGGCTTCTTCTGTATGTCCTTAGCTGTAGGACTTCAGGCGATTCTCATTGTTGTTCTCTAGGTTAGTCATAATGTTGAGGTTGTGTTGGAGGAGGTGAGCACAATATTTACCTACTCCACCATCTCGATCATTGTTTTTAGACAATCTTATTTTTGACTGACTCAGATTTAGAGATAGGAGCTCTCAAAGGGGACAGCCTCCATCTCTTGGCAATTTGTTCCTGTTGTTTTATTTGTTTTCCTTTATTCTCTTGGCCAAAAGTTTAGCATATTTTACAGCCTCTTTATTAATTTTCTTAATATGCTGGGGTTTTTTTCAGAGCAATAGTTGATGTTTGTGTTGTGGCACAAATGGAAAACAAGATGCTGAATCTTAGGTTCTTGGTTTTGTACCTTCTTTGTTCAGGGACTTTCTGACAACATACTGGTGGACATTGTCATCTTTAGAGTGATTATAAAGTTTGCAGATTCTTCTAGCTTTTAGGTCCCAGGCAATGAGGACCTAAAACAGTAATATCAGTTAGTCCAGGCATATCTCCCCAACCTTTTTTTTTTCAACAATATCAAGTTGTGAACACTCATTGGCATCCACAAAGCAACTATGAACAGATTTGTACTTTCTTTCTTCATTTCTTCTTGGAAAAATAGATAATGAAGCAATTAATAATAAAATGCGACGTAAGTGCTACATGTCCAGACAGAGGATTCAGATAGTACCAGGGAACATCAAGAAGGAGTAAATATTTCCCTACCACCTAATATTTCTCACATAAATATATGGTGATACCTTGGCTAATGCATTCAATGGAAATAAAGAGCTTTTAATTCAATGAGACAAGTGTAGAGAACACACTTCGAATGGCATAAGATAATAAAACAAATAACCCCCCATTCTTCTGCATGTTTGATTACATATCTAACCTATGTTCTATTTAGTTGGTGACTAAACTCAATTAGCTGTTATGAAAGAGCAGGAATTGAAAGACCTCTTTTGCAGGTAGAAATAGAAAACCTAGCTTCCTTGGTGACTGGGCCTGTCAGAAAATTAAAATATGAACTGTAAAGGAAAAATATACAGACACAGTACAGAGCTACACAGAGGTGAAGACATATAAGGAGATGAGAAAGATGGGAAAGGGACCCAGACAAAAACTAAAGAAAGAAGATATATTTATTGTGTGCCCATCATGTACAAGGTGCTGGATGAGAAAGCATATTTCTTATACTCCAGAACCTTGTAGAGATAAAAACAATATATCTGTGTGATGACGATGATATTGAAAATAATAATTGTCGCTTATGAGTGCTTGCTATGACCAAGATAGACAAGTCTATATGGGTATTGTAGGGATACAGAGTAGACGTGATCAATTCTCCCAGGGGATGGAAATAGTCAGTGGGTTAGGGAGAGTGAAAAAGTGTGGAGCAAACAGAGGGTTTTTCCAAAAAGAGTGAAAAAAGAGAAAGAAATAAGGTAGCTGGATATAGAGGAATAGGGAGAGGATAGAAAGATAGGGAGATAGGAAGATCGAAAAGGCAAATAGAAAAGAAGAGCTAGAAAGAAAAAGAAGAAGGAATATGATAGATAAAAATGGGTAAGAAATGGAAGAGAAGAATAATATAATGAGAAGCAAGAGGAAGGAGAGACTCTGCCCTTCCTATGCCATGGCTTTCATTCATACGTATATTTGACGGTGAAACGGGTTCATTAGAACTTGTCCTCTTTCTTGGTGGAGTTGTTACTTTGTGAGCTTCACACAACTGGAAAAGAATACTGTGAACTAGAGAAGGACATGTGTTAAGTGGTAGAGCCATTTACTGTAGTTTAAGAAGAAGTCTCTTTATAGTCAAAGGGTCCTGGGTTTGAATTCTGGCTTTGCTACTTTACTTTTGATAAAGTGCTTAGCATAATGCCTGGCACATAATCAATACACAAAAAAAATGAAAGCTATCTTATTATTTTTTTTTTGTAGAAAAATAAGATAAATAAATAGCACCATTACTATTTTATCAAATCCACATTAAACTTTGTATAATTCCTTGTTTGGTCTTTTTAAAATTACATTTTCTAAATAAAACAAATATATGCCTAACAAAGAAATAATTGGTAAATAGAAAAGTAGAAAGTAGAAAAGTTATCTATCTTATTATCTCCTAAAATGATCATTTATTAACACTTTAGGGTATTGTCTTCTTGTTCTTGTTTATATATATTTTTTTACATAGCAGTGCTTACTGTATGAATAATTTATATTCTATTTATTGTTTTTATGATTAATAGTATAACATGAGCATGTTTTCCTGTTACCTCAAATATTCTTCAAATATTTCAAGTATTTGTAAATTCTTCAAATAAAGTTTTTAATTACTATGTAGCATTTCAAGTGGATGTGTCATAATTTATTTATTTTATCACATTTTCCTTATTCTTGGACATGTAGGTGGTTTTTAAAACTCTTTTAAAGCTATTTTTAAATGATTATTCATAGTAGTTCATAATGATGAACACCATGGTTTATGAATCTTTTTTATATCTAAGATTACTTCTTTAGAAATGATTCCTAGAAGTTTAAGTAGTGATATGAACATTTTTAAGGCTGTGTGTATGTATTGTTAAATTGTTTTCTAGACTTTTTCTACTCATAGGAGATGAGAATGCCCACTTCACCTTGCTCTCCCATTATTATTCTCTTATATTATAAATAGGAGGTATTTTGTTAATGTTTTAATTTTCACTTTCTTAAAAATAATTTTTTAATTAAATATTAGAAAATGTGAAAAATACAGTAAAGTGTAAAGGAAAACATTAAAATGACATGTAATCCTTGTGTATTAGTTTGCTAAGGATGCTGTAACAAAATATCACAAACTGACTGGCTCAAACAACAGAAATCTGTTGTCTCACAGTTCTGGGGGCTAGAAGTCTGAGATCGAGGTGTTGGCCGGGGGGAGAGATCTGTTTCAGGCCTCTCTCCTTGACTCATAGATGGCCATCTTCTCTCTATGTCTCTTTACATGGTCTTCCCTCTGTGTGTTTTTCTGTGTCCAAATCCCCCGCCGCCTTTTTTTTATAAGGACACTGGTCATATTAGATGTTAGGGCCCATTTTAATGACTTAATTTACTCTGTAAAGACCCTGCCTCAAAATGAGATACATTCTGAGGTAATGGGGATTAGGACTTCAACATATGAAATTAGGGGTACACAATTCAACCCGTACCACCTCACTATCCATAAGAATCCACTATTGAAAGTTTGATGTATTTTCATCCATTCTATTTTCAGTGCATATTTCAGTGCTCTCTTTAACAATCTTGAAATATTTTAGCAGTAACAACACATCTTATATATGTAAAAATTCTCTGGTTATTACATTATTCGTGTTTTCTTCAAGTTATTCTTTTTTTCTTTGTTGTATGAGATTAGTTGAAGTCTGTATTTGGGTACAACAAAAAATTAACATTTCAGTTTTGTATGTTTCTAAAGGAAAATGAAAATGATGTTAAAGATAATAAATTTATAAATATCTATATCATTATTTTATTAGCAATAATATCAATGCCATATTCCCAGCAAAATAAATTTAAAACAATGAGTTTGCTTTTTTATTTTTAGGTTCCTACGTTAAAGTCAGGAAGAATGGGTTTAATTGGTGGATTTGAGCACATGGTAAAAGAAGGAGGAATTCGTTCTTTTTGGCGAGGAAATGGTGTGAATGTTTTTAAAATTGCACCTGAGGCAGCCATCAGGATGTGGGCTTATGAACAGGTAAGGTGCTATTGTCTGTGGAATTTTATAACAAAAATCAGATTTTAAATTTAATTTAAAAATTTAGGACTTCATGAGAGAAAACTGGAGTGCGATAGATGTCAATTTAAATATAAGTGACTTTGTTTATTCTCATTTATTTTTCTGATTTCATATTGGTTTTGTTTATAAGAGATGTTCCATGGATTATATTATCATCACTGATGTTTATTAGTAATTCTTTTTATTTCAATTTTACAGTGAAAGAAACCCAAGCATTTCGATATTGGTTTTCTTTTGAGCAATTAGAATGTTTTATTTAAAACTTGTTAATCTGATTTAGGATTTGAGTTTGGCTTAAATAATTCACTTTGAGATAAGCTGTATTTCTTTTTGAAAAGTATAAGTCATTAGCATCACATAAGAGTCCAAGAGTGCTCTGTGTGTGTCTCAAGTTTTTCATTTTCACTGTAAATCTTGTAGTAATTATTTTTTAAAACATTTTTATAGCATATGGTATTCAATTGTTTGTTTTGTACAACCTTGGTTTATAAGGTCATAGACCTCAAAAATTTAAGAAAATGTAGAAGATTAATAATATCCTTTCTTAAGCAGTTGAAAAGCAAGTAGATGGATGAATAGAACACTAGACTTAGTTGTAAAGCACGTTAAAAACATACATCTCTTAAATGAGGATTTGCTTACTTATTCAACAAATATTTCTTTGATGAGCAAATATTTCTTGAGGTCCTAATGTATTCTGGACCTCATTCTAGGTGCCAGAGATATAGCAACAAACAAATCAGAAAAAAGAAAAGAGCATACCTGCCTTTGTGGAATTCATATTAGCGTCTAGGTTGGAGGAGACAATAATCAAATAAGTAAATATATGGCAGATCAGATGGTAGTAATTGCTATGGAGAAAATAGAGGGTAGAAATTAGAGATAATAAGAACCAACAGCTTTTTCAAGGAGTTTTGCTACGAAGAAGAGAGGGAAATGGAGTGGTAACTGGAGGGGAAGGTTGGATCAAGAGAGAATTTTCTAAAACTGGAAAAAGCAACAACATGCTTGTGTGTTTAGGGGAATGATCCAGTAGAGGGAGGACCATTGATGACTGGAAGGAACATTACTGACTGCAAAGAGATTCTCCTTGAGTCTTTGAGTGGGCGAGAGCTGATGGGAACTAGTGCTCATGGAAGGATTTGGCCTTGGCTGGACACTTCATCCATAGTTATAGGAGAAGCGCTACGAAGTGGGCGCAGATGCAGGCAGGGTTGTGGAAGCTTTCTTCCTAGTACTTTGATTTCTTTATTGAAATGAGAAGCAAGGACGTGTTGGAGGTGTGAGGAAAGAGGTGAAGGTATGAGATAGTATTCCAGGAGAGTGGGAAGGTGAATAGATAGATTCACTTTCTGGCAGCAAAGGATCCAGGTGAAATTCTTGTGATCTCATTATATAAGTTCGACAATACCTTACTCTATATTTATGCACTCACTGCTGGATGATAACCCATGATCTTGCCTCTAGGAAATCCATGGGTAATTAGCCATCAACTTATTTTGGGTGGGTCAGGGTATCCTGGTTGTAACTCTGGACTTGTCTCGTAAGATCATTGTATTCATCTCGCATCTGATGATTCAGTGCCACCACTCGGCCTCTGCTATTCTGAAATTTTCCATCTCCATTGCTACTGGTGAACCTAGTTCCACGGCAACGTCCCCTGCTGTCAACTCTGAGAACAGCCATCACTGGGTCTTTCAACAAGGACTCTTACCATAGAAACAGCTGATAGGTTCTCCAGTCTTGTGATAAAATTTGTTCTAACATTTCCACCTTCCAGAATCTCCTGGTCCCTTCCTCAACACTCTGTCAAGACTTTGGCACCTCCAGCTCATTTGCCGTCTGCCATCCCAGCAGCATATTAGGACAGGTTTCAGGTGTCCCATGTCATGTGTCAACAATGTCTCCTCTATCCAGCATTATATTCCACCCCATATAGCCCCACTGTTCAACACTCTTATGCTCCATTCCCGCGCATGATCCACTGGTTCCTACCAGTCCATTTCAGTCCATTCTGACTCTTCGGTCAGAATGCTGTTTATTCCTAGAACATGGACTGCATTTCTTCATTGGGCTATCTGAGGCCTGACCCTGTAAAAATTATTGGTTGGGAGGCAATAAGAGGTGTGTGCAGATAATGAGGAGGAAAAATATCATCCTGTTGGGCTTCCACCTCTTTGAGGCTTTTACGTGACCTCTGACCAAGGAGAGGCCGCTCTGCCTGTGGGAAGGGGACTACTTTTTGCCAAACTGGAGGGTGCCGGAAGATTTGGGAGTTTGGGTTTCTCAGGCACATACACCCGAATGTCCCCATTCCAGGTGTCAGGGTCTCACTCCTTCCCAATGAGGGTCTGCACTTCAGCATAGGAGACCTTCTGAAGCTGTGCGTTCAGTTTCCTTGTAACTCTGTTACCTTTACATTTATATCCTGGGCCTGATTTTCAGCAGTCTATTTTCCAACTGCAGGAAATGAGGGTCTCTTTAAATGCTTGCATGAAGGCCTTATAGTGTTCATAATTTGCTTTAAGGTGATAATTGGATGACCTAACCTTGACATTCTCTTTCTTCAAAGTTTCGAAGGCAGAGAGTAAGAGCCAGCTAAGTCCACAGTCCTTATAAATGACTCCATTTTTGCTCAAGTATTAGAGCAACTGCATAATGTAATGTTTTCCTTACTATCAGTTCCTCACCCCAGGCCACCACGACTAAGAATCATAGTAACCACAGCGTACCATGGGTTATCAGCATCCCATTTACCACTAGCGATGGTGTCTTTGTTGCCCAGTGACCGGTCCTGTTCTAGTAACAACAGCAGGATTTTCTCGAACTACTTTTTAAAGAACCAGCATTTGATTTTATTGATTTTCTCTATTGATTTTCTCTTTTCAGTTTCTTTGATTTCCACTTTAATTCTTATTATTTCTCTTCCACTTATTTTGGATTTAATTAAGTCTTTTTTTCTAGTTTCCTAAGGTAGAAATTTAGATTGCTGATTAATAGACCTTTCTTCTTTTCTAACATATGCATTCAATGCTGTAAATTTCCCTCTAAGTACTGCTCCCCACTAATTTTGATGAATTGTGTTTTCATTTAGTTCAAAATATTTTTAAGTTTCTCATGAGGTTTCTTCTTTGTCCTATGTGTTATTTAGAAGTGTGTTGTTTAATTTCCCAATATTTTGGTATTTTCCAACTCCCTTTCTGTTATTGATTTTTGGTTTAATTTCACTAGGGTCGGAGAGCAGACATGGTATGATTTCTGTTCTTTAAAATTTGTTAAGGTGTGTCTTATGGCCTAGAATGTGGTCCATCTTGGTGAATGTTCCACGCGAGCTTGTGAAGAATGTGTGTTCTGCTGTCGTCGGATGAAGCAGTCTGTGCTGTCAGTTATATCCAGTTGATCGATCGATGGTGTTGTTGAGTTCAGCTTTGTCCTTACCAACATTCTGCCTGCCGGATCTGTCTTTTTCTAATAGGGGATACTAAAGTCTCCAGCTGTGATGGTGGATCCATCCATTTCTCTTTGCAGTTCTACCCGTTTTTGCTTCACATAGTTTAATGCTCTGTTCTAAGGTACATGCACATGAAAGATTGTTGTCTTCTTGGAGGATTGACCCCTTTATCATTATGAAATGCCCTTCTTTATCTCTGATGACTTTCCTTGCTTCAAAGTCTGCTCTCTCAGAAATTAGTATAGCTACTCCTGCTTTTTTTTTTTTTTTGATTAGTGTTAACATGGTATATCTTTTTCCATTCATTTACATTCAATCTATATGTATCTTTATATTTAAAGTGGGTTTCTCGTAGACAATATATAGTTGGGTCTTGTTTTTTTTATTAACTCTGACAATCTCTGTCTTTTAATTGGTGCATTGGAGAACTTTTGAAGTGCCACTAACTGTTTTAGTTTTGATTCCCCCAGAGCAGAATCTGGGTGCCGGTTATTTGCGAAGAAGCAAGAGTGAGGAGACAGGAATAGTGAGACACAGAAGGAAGAAAAGTCAATGTAAAGATACATAAATGAGGTTTCAGCTGTAGGCGGTAGAGGGTTGATTCTGCTGGAAAGTCTAAGAAGTGTACAGAGAAGTTCCCAGAATTGTCTGTCTAAAGGAAGGGAGCTGTGGCATTTATCTACCAATTTCTATCCCATATTTTATGAAGATTGCTCTTAAGACTTTAACTTCCCCAGACTTCTGGGCTGGACAGGCTCTCACAGCTTCAGAGAAAGCCCTGAAGCAGAAAAGCAGAGAAACGAGAGGCTTTTGCTTTAGATGGGATTCTGTTCATGTGAGCCCGCACAGAACTGTACAGGTGTGATACAGTGCTCTGGAAATGTCTACCATGGCCAGCTATCTGCCTGTTGAGGTTTGGGGGCCTGAGAGTTAGAGATCAATGAAGTAGAGTTTCGTAGGCTGTGAGTATAGGTTTTCTAGCAATAAAATTCTTTCACAAACTTCTTATAGTTGTCTGTTTGCTTCTAGTCAAGATCATGTGATGTAGCCACACCTAAAAATTTCTTTTCTGATATTTTATTTTCCAGCTGCCACACTCGTCATTCTCTCTCTCTCATTTTTACAGCAGACTATATTGATGTCAACTGAACGAGTAGGCTGAAATTATACGCCAACACCCTTAATCTGAGTTTTGCAGTGAGGCAAGCTCTTCAGGACAATCTTGTTTCTTTCTATTGGGGTACAGAAGCAGGTGGCTTTTCCAAAATGGAAGTCCCATATTTCTTGCTAGGCAAAGAATACTACTTCAGCGGAGCTCTATTCTCTTCCATCTCTGCTTGCAAACTGGCTTTGGAGAAGGCCCTGAGGCAGAAAAGCAGAGAGATGCCTAAGCTCATGTTTCATAGATCTTGCTAAAGCAAGGAGAGGCATCACTGACCAACATTCTGAGATTTTACAGTCAGTTTCCTTAGGACTTCAGCCTCAGAAAGAACATGGTCTGCCTTCCAAGTTATCACCAGAAACAGTTTCATCAAACATTTCCGCAAAGCATTAGAGTGTAGTAACTGTGTCCTCCCTCACAGTAAAGCCAGTGCCATATATTTTACGTTTGAGTTATGACAGCGCTCCACATCTAGTAACCAATTTCTGGGCTCGTTAGGGTTTATTCTACGCTGTTGTAACAAAAGAGATACCAAAATACATGAGCTTAAATAAGATAGAGGCGTGTGGTCCAGGGCTAACAGTACGGCTCTGCCATCTTCAATACATAGCTTCAAGGGTGGCACCCGTCTTTGCTGTTTCCCAGGGGGAGGAAAGAAGAGTCCAGGGCAAGCGTCTTGAAGGAGATGTCTCAGAATTTGCATATCCGAGTTCCCCTCATATCTCATTGGCCAAAATGAGTCTCTTGGCCACCCGGCCTAGCTGCAAGGGAGAAGAAGGAAATGCAGTTTGGGGCCGAGCTGGCACTGCCACAAAGGGAATAAGATAACGGGCACCGGGAACAGATCGCAGTGTTTGCTGAGTTAACTGAACCGATCACACTTTCAGATGGGGAGTCAAGTGAGGACCAGAGAGTTAGTTCCTAGAAAGTAGCTGAATCATATCGACCGCTAGAAAGACAAACAGGAAAACATCTTGCCTAGGAGGTGACGAGCTAATCTGCTTTCTAAGGCTGTCTTGGGTTCTAGACGAGTTTCACATTTCAATCTCCGTGAAAATTGACTGACTTTTCAGTTCCTGTGAAGCCTGACATTCGGGCTGATATTTCTGTTTTCTTTATTTCTACAAGTGTTATTGAAATAACCTCCGTTTCTTGAGCTAACTGGAGTTAACTGTTGTTCCTTGTAATAAAAAGAGCCTTTCACGTTAAGTCACTATTCCTGATTATCCAGTGACCAAATGATATTAAGTACCTTTCATGTGTAAGGTGTGGGGCTAAAAAGAGATAAAAGATACAATTCCTACCTCCTTTGTGTCATTAGCATGCCCTTTATAAAATACTACTCCATTCATAAATATGCTTAAGTGAGTTACTGTTGCTAACTCATCCTGGTGAAAAAAAAAAAGAAAAAGGATCTTACTTATTATCTTAGACAATTAATTGCATAAAAGTAAAATCAGGTATTCTAATATCAGGTGTCTGGAATACTTTTAAAAATAATTTTATGCTACTAATTTATGTTATAAACTTAGAAACAATATATACTTCATTTCAGTAATATTATACATTTCAATACTTTTATTTATACAGTATAAGAAATGGCTTAGTTTCGATGATGTTAAAATAGGAATTATTGAGAGATTTATATCTGGTTCATTGGCTGGTGTAACTGCCCAGAGCTGTATTTACCCCATGGAGGTATGTATTATTATAAAATTTTTAACTAAAGTAATGCTTATAAGGCAAATTATAACATGTTAAAAAAATAAATGAATCACAGATCGAGATTTTTATGCAATAAACAGCTCTATAGCTACAAGGTTTAAATCTCATATCATGTATCAGTTGGCCTTAGTCAATTTCTGTTTTGCTTAGGCTAAAAGTAGTATTTTAGATGCACCAAGAAGATAATAATTTCATTGACTGATCGTTCAGTTGACTTATTCATTAATCAAATCAAATTTGTATTGTACACCCACTAGATACTTTTCCAGAGAGGAGTCAGATAGGCATTTTGGTCATGGAGCTTAATAGTATAGAAGGGGAGGTAAAACGTACATCGGTAATGATGATCCGACATAGAAAATATAAGTTCTAGAAGAGAGATCAGTATGAAGTGCTCTGGAAATTCAGAGGGGAGAAATTATTTCCTGTTAGGCTTTCATGAAAGGTATGACTAGAATGTGTGAGTTTGGCTTAGAATTTGGACATTCAGAGATGATGGGGAAGGGCATTTCAGGTGGAAATAACGACTTGAGCAAAGGAATGGGGGTAAAAGAGCAGGTTTTTGGTTTGGATTGGATAGTACCATAGATGATGGGTTGGGGCTAGATCATAAAGGCTCTCGAAAGGAGCTCACGATATTTAATATTAATTTCTTAAAAAAAATTAAGAAACTATTAAAGACCTTGGGGCCTGAAATATAAGCTTAGTAAAGTTTTTTTTAGAGCAGGAGAGATGAGAGAAGTGAGATGACTAGATACAAGGTATCGCCGTCATTCAGGGAGGTGGTAATAAGGACTTGAAATATGATATTGACTAGGGGACATTTACTTATGTTAGCGCTGTCTTGAGAACCGACAACTTGAGAAGCAGAAAGCAGGAGAAAGAAAAAGGAAGAAGGCAAACTCTATCTGGCTTCTGCATCTCTAAAGAGGTAGAGACTGGAGGAAGTGAGCCAGATTCTGAGAGATGATGAGCTCAGGTTTGCATATATATTTAAATCAAATTGTTAGTGGACAACCGAGTTATGATTTTCAGCAGGCAGCTGCAGATGTGATACTGAGACTTGAGAAATTTCAAGTCTTGATACGTCATCTGCAAAGATGTGTTAGTTAAAGCCAGGAGTTATTTAAAAAAAAAAAGTAGTTTTTTTTTTTTTTTTTTTAATGCTAAGAAGACTTTTGAGAAGATCTTAATTTAGGGAGTAAGAGGAAAGAAAACATGCCAGGAGATCAAGCAGAAAATAATTACTTGAGTAAGAAGAGACTGCATTGCCCTGGAGAGGGCAGTTTTAAGGATGAGATTATCCAGAGTGTGGGCTCCTGCAGAGAAGGTCATAAAACCAAGGGCTTCCAACTGACCGCTTTGAGGCAGCTCCATCAAGACACAGTTTTCCCAATCAGACAAAGTTTATACTTTTTTTTTTAAATCTGGGCTGTTTTGGAGAGTCATTTCTCCATGTATATTCTATAGAACTCCTTTAAATTAAATTAATGAAAATTAAGAGGAAAAGGAAAGGTTCTATCAGAAGGATTATGTTGAGCATAGGAATATAGATCACAGCAGCCTAATATGGCCCTCACGGCCCCAGGGATTTTACTATTTTATGAGCACAAAATGAGCCCAAGTCATATTAAATCATAGTTTATAGGACTCACTGTTACAAAAGTTCCCAGAGCGTGTATTTAAACATACATAGCATTTGTTTCCACATTGGGTCTTCATTTTTACATGACCAGATACTTTTTTTAAACTTGGATATTGGCTACAGTTGCTTTATTTTGAAGTAATAATGTTATCTCGTGATTTGTTTCAGAATATGTTGCCTTACAGTCCATTAAAGGAGTTTGAGTGGTTATATCAGTCAGAGACACAATGATTATATTCTCCCGTTTAAATAATTTTTAAAAAGCTCTATACTGTGTCAGTTGTTCATAATTAAGGGTCAGTTAATGGGAAGTTAAAATTATGTTTAAGATTGCGTTTTTTGATTTCTATGGTAATTAGTCAACATTAGGTATAATATACAATTTACTGGATTGCTAGATGAGTCGAGTAAATCTGATCAATATATTTTTATCGCGTTATTTCACATTTAGGTAATAAGGACCAGATTGGCTCTAGGTAAAACTGGACAGTATTCAGGGATTATTGATTGTAGCAAGAAGCTTCTGAAACAAGAAGGTGTTAGGACTTTTTTCAAAGGTTATATTCCTAACGTGCTGAGCATTATACCTTACGCAGGCATAGATCTTGCTGTTTATGAGGTGAGTTTATTCTCATAATATGATGTTTTGTGTTAGACTTGAAAATTTGGTACAATATTAGTTTTTATTCTAAAAAACTGGTTCTAAATGACTTTTTTATGAAATAGTTTCTGACCAAGAAGTGAATCGAATGATTTTATTTGGCTTTTTGTTTCTATATTGTCTGATATCCTAATGATTTTTGTGTGCGTGTGAATTAGTTTTTGTAATTATAATTATGGACTGAAATGCTGACAAAAATAGTGTTTCTCAGCTCTGGGTACATATCAGAATTACTCGTATGTATATTGTTAAAAAATGAGCTTCTTGGACTACATTCCAAGATATTCTGATTTAATTGTTCTGGGCAGAGGCCTGGAATTAAGGTCATTTTTTTTTTTTTTTTAACTCCCTGGAAGAATCCAATGCACAGTTAAAATGGAGAAAACTGAGATATTATTGCACAGTTGTAAAAATGAGAGTTGAGGAGAGGGGGTCCCAGGAGAGAGGTGGCATGGAGTTAGGGCAGATGTCCTAATAGAATAAGGCCGAACAGGTGGGATTCCAGGTTACTCCCCTTTCAGCCACGCGTTTTGTGTTTATGACCACACATTCGTTTCAGGTAGACCTCCTTAACAACATATACCATTTGGTCATAAGAACCAGGTGAGAGTATATGGTTAGTATAACTTAAATTCCTTCTCGGCATAGGAAGGACAGCTCCCTGCGCACAGGAGCAGTGATGGTTTTGGCACGTGGTACCACCATTATGAGAAAGATAGCCAATTTCATTTAGCACTTACAAAATATGCTTACACATTTTTGTGGCAGTTTAAAATATTGAATATTATAGCATGTGCTTTTTCCCCTTTTTATTTTCTTGCTTCTGTGCTCTTATTAAAATAAATTCCTTGCTCCCATTTACGGTCGGCCTCCCTCCATTCTTTAATTTCTACAGTTCAGTATCTTTTGCTTTCAAACCAGAGGGACATTACATATCTCTCTCTTTCTGGTTGCATGACGGTAATAAATGCATACTGAGTAAAGACATTTTGAAATTTAGTTTTTCAAAAGCATCAGATTATACATTTCACAGTAATTGCCCCGGTATATAATGCTAACGTCTTATTCTTTAATAAACGAACAGTTCTAAAAGCACCCAATGATATTTCAATCTCACTATTTTAAACATAATTCCTTCTAGCTACCTTCATTCAAGGAAAAGCGAAATTGGGAAGATGCATCTTTCTTTAAAATTGAGAAAATATGGTTTTATTAGTAACCTAGGTGGATTATGCAGTCTTCTCTACAGTGTTCTGTTCATCCCTCTGAGAATCTCCAGAATTTTGCTTAGGTCTTTGAATATCATTACAAAGCAAAACAATCAAGCAAAACCAAACAGACAAACACAGAGACACAAACATAGGACAATGAAAACTGAGGCGTGTGGATACATTTGTTTGAAAACATCCGTGCACCCTGATCCTGATGAGACAGCAGGGACGGCAGGGACGGCCACCTCTGTACAAGCAGGAGGAACAATCTTTCTAAGGATTTCGGAAAGAACGGTCGCTAAAACCAAGCAACCAAGTTTGACTCCCACTTATCAGCTTCGTGACCTGATAACTTAGTCTCTCTGAATTACTTTTCTCATTTATATAATTTAAGACTAGAAACATCAATATTGACTTGTCAGGTTTCTGTGGGAATTAAAAGAAATGACATCTGTGAAAATGCTCTGTATAATTCTTGAATCGAGAAGCTATTCGATGTTTATTGAAATTGAGTGAGCAATGAACTTTATTCTACTTAGATTTGCATAGTAGTTAAAGAATATTTACTACTTTCTTCTCTTCCAGCTTTTGAAGAATTATTGGCTAGAACATTTTTCAGGGAACTCTGTAGACCCTGGGGTAATAATTGTGATGGGATGTAGTACATTGGCCCACACTAGTGGCCAGCTAGCTAGCTTCCCCCTGGGCCTTATCAGAACACGCCTGCAGGCTCAAGGTGAGTTTTTTTTTTTTTAAATGAAGTAACAGTAAGTTAAAAAAGTTAACAAGAATTACTTTAATGAAGTAATAATAAAAACTGAGATAAAAAATTAAAAATAACTAAGTTACTTAAATGAGTAGAAATTAATGATTTTACAAACCAAAAAACTGTAGAAATGATAAGTAAAAAGCTAACTCTGATTTTTAAAGTATAATCTTGAATTTTTTTTTTTATTGTAGAGCCTTTTGTGACTTTTAGATTTTATTTCTTCTACAAAGTTCTGTTTGGAACTCTGCACATTTCTCTTTGTTACCGATGATCTCTTTCAGGAGTTTACAATTAGAAAGTGCCAAGCAGAACAATAGAAAAGATTTTACTTTCTTCAGATCGAATCAACAGTTACTCACTATGAGCATGTAATTTTCCCCTAGTTCTGCTATTGTTGTTAATTCTGTGTTAGGAACTTAATACATCTGTGGAATTGAAAGCAACTGTTTTGTATCCCAGTCCACTAAGCAAGGAGATGGAAGGGAGGGTGTCTGTTTTGTCCCTCTTAAGTGAAATGTTAGGAGTTTAGATTTTAAGCAAATACGTTTTTCATTTTTCAAGAAGGAAAAAAAAAAACACTTCACATAATCCTATTATTATCTTCCTGAGTAAACTATGTAAGGGATCATGTGGTAAGTGATATTCTTGTACATTCCTTCCTCCCTTCTTTTTGGGAAGATTTTTGGATTTAATTGATATTACAGTCCAGGTGGGGAATCTCTCAGTTCATCCCATCACCCATCCATCCCTCTATCAAACTATTTATGTCATACCCAATTCCCACTGCTCCTTTGAGTTTCCTTATTAAGGACTTTCAAATATTGCCCATTAGAACTTTCTGCAGTCAGGGAAAGATTTTACATCTGTGCTGTCCAGTATGGTAGCTGCTAGTCACACATGGCTGTCAGACACTTGAAATGTTGCCAGTGCATCTGAATTTTTAGTTTTCTTTAATTTTAATTAATTTAATATTAAATAGCCACATGTGTCTAGTGACTATCCTATTGGATGGCACAGGACTATTCAGTAGGGAAAAAGGTGTACTCTGAAGTAATTTCGACCTCTGTTAATTCTCATTCATCACTGGACTTTCTTAAGGTATAAAGATTAAATATTGAATTATACACTGATTTCTTTTTTCAATTTATAGCACTGGAGCAAAAAGAAACAACCATGATTCATCTCATTCAAGATATATATAACAAAGAAGGAAAAAAGGGATTTTTCAGGGGTTTCACTCCAAACATCATAAAAGTGCTCCCTGCAGTGGTCATCAGCTCTATTACTTATGAAAAAATGAAACGATATTTTGGATTAATTTAGAAGTGAAATATCAAATTGCTGTCATTACTATAATCACTTAATTATAAGCTAACACCTGGGTTGTAAAAAGAAACTAATTTTTTCCTTAAAGAAAAGCAGTATCAAATAATTGTTAAAATGTTTTCTCTTCATCTATTACAAAATCTATAAGTTAAAGAATCATTTTAGTAGAGTTCTTTAATAATGATATATCCTTAATATTCACAGAATTCTACTTATATTTCTCAGTTCTCTCCCTTGAAATTAGTTTTTATTGGGTTTAAATATATCATAGTAACATTATACAACATTCGGTCAGTTGTAGTAGTTTGTGTTAACCTTTTTGTATTTAAATGGTTTTTTTTAAGAGATGAGCTTGAAAATTTTTATATACTAAAAGAAAAATCAGTGCATTCGAAATTGACATGGCAAATGATCAGAGTCTGTTTCTCTTCCTTTAACACAAAATGGAAAGTTGTTTTCCTAATTCCTTCTGTCAGATTGTGGATGGAATAATGATAACAGGATAACATTTTCTTACTTTTCTGGGTACTTTTATTTGTAAATATAACATTGTTAGTTCATTTTAATCCTTGATATTTTTAGCTGTTATAAGGACAAATCAGCATCGGACACATTTTCTTTTATCTTCTGGTTAATTTCAGGTGTTTCACTCCAAACATCATAAAAGTGCTCCCTGCAGTGGTCATCAGCTCTATTACTTATGAAAAAATGAAACGATATTTTGGATTAATTTAGAAGTGAAATATCAAATTGCTGTCATTACTATAATCACTTAATTATAAGCTAACACCTGGGTTGTAAAAAGAAACTAATTTTTTCCTTAAAGAAAAGCAGTATCAAATAATTGTTAAAATGTTTTCTCTTCATCTATTACAAAATCTATAAGTTAAAGAATCATTTTAGTAGAGTTCTTTAATAATGATATATCCTTAATATTCACAGAATTCTACTTATATTTCTCAGTTCTCTCCCTTGAAATTAGTTTTTATTGGGTTTAAATATATCATAGTAACATTATACAACATTCGGTCAGTTGTAGTAGTTTGTGTTAACCTTTTTGTATTTAAATGGTTTTTTTTAAGAGATGAGCTTGAAAATTTTTATATACTAAAAGAAAAATCAGTGCATTCGAAATTGACATGGCAAAATGATCAGAGTCTGTTTCTCTTCTTTAACACAAAATGGAAAGTTGTTTTCCTAATTCCTTCTGTCAGATTGTGGATGGAATAATGATAACAGGATAACATTTTCTTACTTTTCTGGGTACTTTTATTTGTAAATATAACATTGTTAGTTCACTTTTATCCTTGATATTTTTAGCTGTTATAAGGACAAATCAGCATCGGACACATTTTCTTTTATCTTCTGGTTAAAAAACACTTGAGGGAAAGAATTTTAAAAATTAAATCTGTTATTTCATACTTGGTGAAGTAGTTCTTATTCAACCTAGGAGTTGATTGAGTCAGCCCTTTGAATTCCTAAATGTCCCTTTTCACTTTTATGAAAAAATGACTCCTATTCTCTGTTGGAATTATTTATTATCTAGTTACATAAATTATTTAAATCTGAGTGTGATGAGACAGTGGTAACGGGCTCGCTGGTCACAATAGGCCTCAAAGGAAGAACTGCGTAACCAACCTGACTGAAGTCTCTTCTACCTATTGATTGAATTAATGCAACAGAGATCATCTTAAGAATTTTCACTTTCAAAAGAAGTTCACTATGCATTCATCAGGTAAACTGTTCCAGAAAATTTCAGATTACTTTATTTGATATTTGCTCATAAGTTGCAAATGTGATAGTCTGTTTGTATTCATGCCCATGAAAATCACATCGAAAGCACTTACACTGAATCACAGTAGTCTTGACATATATAGCAACATGGCTGTTTGAAGATGCTTATCAACGACGATTTGTTAAAATTGTGAACTGAATGGCAACATGTACTGAAAGTGTATCTTTGTACTCTATCATGATATGAGAGAACCAGAATGGAGGGTAGAGATTAAGAGTCAATATTTTAAAAGGTGCTTTACCCATGTATCTTGTTTGTCTAAATCAGTCTGTTCCTTCTGAGATGGTACAGAATCAGCAAATGCAATGTTCTTGTGGTCCTGGCTTTGAGCCGTCGTCTTGCTGATCCAAAGATTTGCCTTTGTTAATTTCCTGAAGATGATCAGTTTCTTGGTGATAGAGTACTTAAAAATTACAAGATTGAGAGATATATCACAGCGCAAAGTTATTAATTTATAGTGGAGCTTCATATTTTCCATTAACCAGAATACTTTTATCTCTTCTCTGGGGCACACCCTTTCCTGTATCGAAGTATCCAGGAAACCGAATACGTAATGAGAAGATCGATGTGGAATTAGAACAAAGAGAGGAAGATATCTTGGAGGGATGTTGTACTCAGACTCATCCCAATTAAGGTGGGAAGAGTTGAGAACATTGTACATAAGGGAGAGGAGCTGAGAAGTAGGAGAGAGAATTGTGGAATTTTAGATAAACTGAGTTATGGACTCCCAGAAGGGAGGAAGGCAAACCTCACGCAAAGTCCGGGAGTGCATGTGTGAGAGACTTGAGTCATGGTGGTAGTAGTAGTTGTGCACATAGACTTTTCAAAGCTTTACACATTGACGAAACATCTTGAGCGGGAACGTGGAAATGGGGAGGTCCACGGAGTGTTAGGGAAATCACAGGTAGCCTGGTCATTTTTGAACATGTGGTGTTTAGGAAGGTCTAGTGAGATGCGGGGTTACTGCTGTAGGCCAGTGGCAGGTCATGGAGAGCTTTGAGTTATATGTGCTAATGACATGCTCTGGTGTAAGAAGATAACTTTGACAATAGGACCAAGTTACTGAAGGAGGATGTTGTAGAGCCAGTGAGACCGATTAGGATGTTGTTGCCATAGCTTGAGTTAGAAAATGCTGGCTTCTGGGTAAGGGCTTCTCTTTAGAGTAGGTAGACTCAGTTATTATATCAGAGTGCAAAGTCCAATGCTATCTTTTGTTTTTAATTAAAAAATCAAAATCTACTTTATTAAGTGCCTGATACATGCTAGGTATTATTTCAAGGCACTTTTCAAGGTACTTCTCTTGCTTAATTCTAACGACCATACTGGAAGGTTAAGATTATTTTTGGTTGGGGAAACTAAGCGTAGATAGGTAAGTGCCTTGAACAGATCTTTCCACACTTCCTCCCTCACTAAGGATTGGGCTCACCCTTCGCTTTCAGGGCCTCTGTTTTCCACGAAGGCCTACTGTCAGCCATAAACTTGGGTATGGCTTGGATATTGTGTAACAGTTCCCAAAGTGATGGTTTAGCCCATTGTTTAGCCTCTCAGTTCTCTTAGGTTGGGTCTAAGCCTGACTGATAAGCTTCCTGCTCTTAGACATGGAGGATGCCTGAGGGGTGACCTTTATAGGTCATCTCACTGTATGTAACTGGAACACTGAAATCTGGGAGTTGGAGTAAATCTTAAAGAAACAGCAGATGTCCTGTCTGCATGACACAGACAAAAATAACTGGACAACATCATAAGATCTGTGGTGTAGGAGTTGGATTTACACAGGAAGCACCTTACTTTATAGTTTCTCGGATACCATTAAAGTGTAAAGATCAGCTCCCTCGTGGGTCACCTTGCAGAACTGTGATACGAATTAGTGAAATTCTGTCTCAAGGTCTTCGGAGGGTTAGAAGTATGTTATAGGATTTAGATTATTACTAAGATTATTAGATAGGTTAAGGGGTGAGTTATAGAAGAGACTTGGTAAGATGAATTAAAGATAAAGAAGGCCCATAGCAGAAGTGGTAATCTGGGAGGCACTTGGGATTAAGTGCGCACTGAAACTTTTGACTCGAAGAAATCTCTGGACTTTACTCAGAAAGGCAAGGATTCTCCAGACAATCACCGAGGACTTTCAGGAAGTTATTTGCAGGCCACTGAAACGAAACAGTGATCCAGAGCCTCTAGCAGAGCGCCCACTTCTCTCGCTTCATGCGAAGCCTGCGTTCCTGAAGGCGCTGCAGAACTTCCTTACATCGTCGCTCTGCCCGGACTGCATATTAAAAGCTAATTTATTAATCCGCTCACGTTGGAGAGAGCATTGAGAAAATTCCAGCTTGTTGATCCTAACATGCTGAAGGGTGGTTGTAAACCCTGGCAAAAGCAAAAAAGCATCCACGAGTTCTCATGGTCTCTAACATTTCAGGAAACAGACTGTTTTATCCACCTCATTTTGGGGCTAGGGTTTAATTTTTCTCAACAATCTTGCTTCAGATATTAGTAAATCTGTTGTAGATACGTGGAAAAAAGTCTTGAATAGGGAACCTTAATTTCACAGGAGCTTGTCGGTCCGCTAATCAATGCACAGTTCTCTCCCTCCAGAAAGGGCAGGGTATCTGTGGGGATGATCTTGGTGGACTGATGGATAAAACGGGAGTAGTGGATTTTCCCTGAGGCTGTTCAGAGTGTCCCTCGCTGCCTTGTCCTCATCCCATCTTTGATGTTCTCAGCGATCATCAGTCTTACATAAATAAATAATTAGGTATATTTACATGGATGAGTATACATGCATCTATTTTTTTGCTCTGTCAGCTGAGATGGCCCAAAAGAAACACCATCTCTGGAGCAACAAGCACACCAAACGCCCAGATCTTGGTTTCTAATACCATTCTCCAAGAAAGGAACCAGGACTCCTTGGAGAAATAACTGAGTCTAGGACTGGAGAAGTAAATATATGAACACCTTGCACATCTTGCACACCTTGTTGGGGACATATCAAAGAGGCTCAGGAGCCAACTGAAAAAGCTTCCAGTCACCAAAGCTGGAATAATTTGGGCCACAAAAATTAATGAAGTAGTATTGGATTATAACCCAACATATAAAGTATCCATGAGTCCATGGTGATGTAAATAAATGATTGAATAAATAAATAACTGGGGGAGAATCGGCAAATCTCTGCAGAAGAATTTCAAATAATTTATGTAGATACGTC